GCTTTCAAAGTGGAGAAATATTTGAAACGATAAGTGCTTGATTAGGAAACATGTATTCTGTAGATAAATTTGTTATATCAATTACTCAAACCTATTTCCAGATAAAATTATATGATGACTGAAGGGAGTATGTAGTGACATGATGTCTCATGTTAGATATCAAGTAGCTATCAGTTTTAGTTGTAACCAATATTTCTTGTTTGCGCAGGATTCATTTTCACTGTTGTTTTGTATATTCAGGTACCCTCAGGATGGGATAAGCTTTCAATCTCTCTCATCTCCATAGAAACAGATAAAACCGTTGCCAAAACAGGTAAAGCATCTGTATGCAATGGAAATTGTCGATGGACAGAGACCTTGTCAGAATCCATTTGGCTCTCTCATGATGATGCTTCAAAAGAGCTTCAGCAATGCCTGTATAAGCTTCTTATTTTAAAGGTTTGATGCCTATCTTCACTCATTTCATTCATGTTTACACATGAACCATTTATTTGCTATGGTCTGGTTATATCACTACTAATCACTTGTTATTTCCTTCTGATAGGGGTCAACTAGATCTGGCATCCTTGGAGAGGCTACTGTTAATTTGTCAAGTTACATGAGTTCTGAAACTTCTCTTCCTGTTGCACTACCTCTAAAGAAGTGTGATCATGGGACAATTTTACAGGTCAGTCAAGCAGATGCTACAAAGCTTTATTTTGGAAAGATACAACACTTTTGCTGGATTTCAGTTGTGTATAGTTACTACTTTTATGTGCTTTTGTGACATTGTGCTCTCTCAGAAGGAAGAATTTGGATTCTCTGTTTGCAGGTCGCTATTCAGTGCTTAACTCCTCGACCTAATTCAAGGTTTGATCCTGAACAAGAGAATCTTCATGTTTTTTCTTCCAATCCTTACAGAGGTTGTAACTTGTTACTTGCTGCATGTTTCATGAATACAGATGGAGTGACACCAACTCTTTTGCAGACAGCAGTGATCTAGATAACATATCCGATGCACCAAATGGTTTTGACACCAAACCTATAGGAACTTCAACAAGCAATAGCATTCGGGATACATCTAATACACTTGGTAGCAGGGTATTTCTCACCTAACTCTACTAAAAGGTTTTTTGCTCTTAAACTATAGCTAGAATCATAATTTGTCCTTGACATCCTTGTGCATCTAAGGATACCTTTTGTTTGTTCAACAGGAGACAAGCTTTGCAACAGTGAGATCACATAGCAGCTTTGATTCAATGGAGGATGCTTTTGGCTCTCATAGTAATCTAAGTGATGCTGCAATCGATTTGATTGGAAAACCAGGGTCAACTACCAATACCATGGTCAATGTTTATAATTCTCCTAGTTCTGGAAAGAATCTTCTAAATCGAAGACAAGATTCTGGGAAAGTTTCACATAATATCCCGGCATCACCATTAAGAACTTTTAGATCCTCTGAATATGCTCTGGATGATGATGTGGCAACAGAAGAACTTCGTGCAGAAGCAAGAACATGGGAAAGAAATGCTAGAAAGTTAATGGTTGATCTTGAATTATCAAGGAAGGTGACTAGTGATCAAACAAGGAACCTGGAAAATGTGACTATGGAGCTTTCTGCATTACAAACAGAATGTAATGATCTGAAAAACGAAATCAAACACCTGAAAATTCTCCTAGGTGAATCAGAAGTGAAAGATAGGGATGCTGATAATCTAAAAGCTCAAGTTCAAGATAAAAACGGTATCCAAGCAGAACTTGAAGAAGAAATAAAATTTCAGAAAGATTTGAATAATAATTTGAGTATACAATTGAATAAAACTCAAGAATCAAATCTTGAGCTAGTTTCTATCCTCCAGGAACTGGAAGAACAAATAGAAAAACAGAAATTGGAGATAAATAGTCTCGATGCATCAGAACAATCAGCAGTTGATGAAGACAATGGAGAAGAGCATACAGGGGTAGAAGTCTCAAGAATCACAACAGAAGACAACTGTAGACTTGAGCTTGAACTACAGAAATTTCAGGAATCACAAGAAAAGTTGGAAAGTAGAATCCTTCATTTGGAGGAGACCCTTGAGGAAAAAAACAGAGAAATAGAACTGGAAAGAGACCTCAAGACTCAAACTTTATTGGACATTGACTCAGAATGGACAAAGAAATTAAGCTTGAAAGACAAACAAATCTTGAATTTGGAAGCAAAATTATCAGAAGCTCTTGCTGCAAAATTACCAGTTCTGAAGGAAACCGAGTCACAGACAATAGAAACTCCTGATCTCATTGAAGAAGTTAAAGCTTTAAAGGATAAGGTTCTTGAGCTTGAAAGAGATTGTAATGAGCTTACTGATGAAAATCTTGAACTCCTCTTTAAACTTAAAGAATCAAGCAAAGATCTTTCAACAAATGGTGCTTCTGAAGTGGGATACAGTGTAAAAGACATCAATGGTAAACTTGACAATTTGATTATAGAGCTAAAATCCAAGGTTGAGGATCTGAATAAACAATTATTCACCAAAACTACTGAGATTGAAGAGCTTAAATCAGACTGTTTGCTTAAGGAAGAAGAGATTCAGTCTCAATGTAATCGTCTACAAGACTTGGAGGCTCAATTGTCTGATTTGCAAATAGTCAACAGTCAGTTGGAGAAAAATTTGACCGATGCTAAAGAGTCAACTCGTTTAGAAGCAGAGCATTCAGAGTCTCAAGTTATTGAAATCAAAAGTCTGGAAAATGAAGTGGAGGATATGAAAAAACGGTGGTTGGAAGCTCAAGAAGAATGTGAGAATCTTAAAAAAGAAAATCCCAAATTACAAGCTACTACAGAGAACCTTCTGGAAGAGTGTAGTTTACTTCAAAAGTCTAATAGTGAGTTAAGACAGCAAAAATTAGAGTTGCATAATCACTGCAATGATGTGGAAGAAAAATTGAGAGAGTCAGAAGATAATTTCTTGAAGTTATCAAAGAATTTGGATGACTTAGAAGAAAATTTATCAGCAATGCTCCATGAAATCGCTTCAAAAGAGAAAATGTTTGATTCAAAACTTGAAAGTTTACATGTGCAAGTTACAGAAGAAAATTCAAATGTTGAGGTCCAATTGCAGAAAATTACGGAGTTGCAGGATGAGATTGTGGCCCTTAAGAACTCACTTAATGATGTGAAACATGAGAATGAGAGACTTGAAGCTTCATTAGAAATGATGTCTGGAGATTATGAGGAATTAAAGGAAGAGAAAACTTTGTTACTTGAGAAATCCCTTAGCATGCAGAAAGCAGTGATTGAGTTGGAGGAGATTAAACGTAAAAAGTTTGCCATGGAAGAAAAACTCTTGCGTCTTGAAAGAAATCTAACTGCTGAGGTCCATATCTCAGATTCTTTCTTCTTTTTAGTGATCGTAAGTCATGTCAAAAAGTTGACTTTTTGACTTTTTTTTTCCTCGACAGGATGTGGAAAGTGGTACAGTTGATGAGTCATCATCTAGAATCCAATCACTGGAGCTTGCTCTTGATGAGGCTTTGGAGGCGAATAAAATGTATAAAATACAGCTTAAGAGGTATGTTGTTATTATAATCATGAAATTTGGTTTTTCTAATTGATTTTTGTGAGTGATATGTATACATGGATGGTGCTGTTGTGATGAAATTTCAGTTTGTTGTCTGAGAAAGAAGCGCGTGAATCGGATATTCTGATGGAGTTGAAGGTTAAGGATGAAGGAATGAAGGAAGAACATAAGCATAATGATTCACTTAAGGCTGAGTTAAATGAACTTCAAGAACGTTACCTCAACATGAGCCTCAAATATGCAGAAGTAGAAGCTCAACGTGAAGACCTTGTCTTGAAGCTAAAGAACCTTGGTCCCACAAGGAGCTGGTTTTCGTAAAATCTTCCTTTTTTCATTCTCCACGTATTATTATTTTCATGAAATTGCATCAACAACTCATGATCATCTGTTCTATTCTATACGAGGAAGAAAACTGATTTTATTATGTCATTGATGGAAAGAACATGAGTAAATAGAAAATTGGCGAGGTAGGTGATATCATTTTTCATTTTTCTTTTTTGTTTTTGAGAGAAGAGGACCATGTGCCAGTTCAACTTAAGGTATATCTTATTGAAGATTTGTTGATCTTTACAGACCAATCTCAACCTTCCTTCAACATTGTATGCAAGTAAGATGCACATGTTTCGGAGTGTTTTTTAGTTTGGAATGAACTGTTTTGGACTAGACTTTTTTCGACACAGTTGCAACACTGGAGTGTGTCCATATAAGTATTTGTAACATGTTAACTAATGTTGGTAGGTTAAAAATGGTTAAAATGAAAAAATTATCAATTATCAATGGTTTTTCCTCGGAATATCTTTGTAATAGTTTTTATGGAATTTTCATTTAAAAAGTAGTTAGGACTTGGGAGTAGAGTATTGATTTTTTTAAAATAAGCCTTGGGTTTCAATCTTATTCATTTGTGTGAAGTTAGACGTCATTTGATTGAAGTTTTCATTTTGTAAACACTCTTGTTGGGATTGAATAAACGTACAAAGCAAATATTTAATTAAAAGTGGCCAAAACAATAAACATAACGTGTTTTGACCATTATACCATTTTATTGGTCAAAGTTAAGACACTTGTAGTTATTTGATAATTGTTGTTAATGGAAAGAGGCTTACATGGTCAAATAAACAATAAGAAAAAAAAAAAATAGATAAGATATGAATGACCTTGAGTATAACTTCACAACTCTTGCAATACAAGTAATTGATATTTTGATAACAATCAAATTGTGTGATGTATGATTGCTATATCTCAACCACTACGATAGCGACACCAAACACCAAATGCATAAGAAAATAGAACTGGAAACATACTAGAAAACAGAAAAAATATTCCTGTTGAATTTTATTTACTTGACACCGACGAATCAAAACGCGCCAACTGTCCTTGAGTTTTTTACAAATGCATAGAATCCAACATGTAATAAATTACAAAGAAAAAAAATCAACACTTTACATACGAGAGAGAGAGAGAGAGAGAGAGAGAGAGAGAGAGAGAACACGAAGAAGAACATGAAAAAACCTACTTCAATTCAAGTAGAGTAGATGATCCAAATCTTCTTCTTCTTTCTTCTTCTTGGGTCAGTTTTATAAATGTTTTTTAGAGTATGGAGTAAGCTCGGATTACCTCAACAATGGGTGCCCGGCACAAGGGACATTTCCCTCCTCCTCGTACCAACTCATTTGCACACTTGGAACACGTGCACATATGTCCACATCTATATATAACACAATCACTTTATCCACTCATAATAAAAGTATTTAACTGTTTCTTTTTTTTACTTGATACAAAAAAAATGACTTAACCAATGTAATAGTACCTGTACAGTAGTGAATCAATTTGGCTATCGCAACAAACACAGCAAGTTCCCTTTTTCACATGGACCCATTTCGACCCATCTTCAGAACTCCCTCCATCAACACCTACAAAAAAAGATTTTCCTTATTTTTTTATCTTACACTTTCATTACATAACAATAATATTAATAATTAATAAAGTTTGTGTACCTTGCTGCCCGCCTCCTGACCGATTCAAAGCAGCAGACACTTCCTGCCTGACCGAACGTTGCAACTCAAGTTGCATATCCATGCAAGCCTCCAGCATCCTCTGCATGTGACTCATACCTTGTTGCAATCTCGCCATGTCAGCTCTCAAATCATTAATCATCTCCCATTCCTATATATGTAACAAAAAATATATACTTTAATTAAAAAGTGAGATGAAAGATATAAATCACAATTCACAAAAATGCTTACGAGTTCAGAGCGGTGGATGCTGTGGCGGGACCAATTAGAATGATTCAAATCATGGTGGTGCCAAACCGGTACTGGCGGTGGTGCTGGCGGTGGTGGTCTGCTACCAATGGTGGCGGCGGTGGCTTCATTTTGGTTTTCACCGTCTTCATCTCTAAGACCAAGACCACCCTGTTGTTGTTCACCTACTTCTGGTGACATGTTTCTGTGAAGATCCCAATCAATTGGTGCTCGGCTTTGCCTTTCCACATATGACTGAATCAAATGGTCTAAACTTTCCCGAAAACCACTTCGAAGAAGATTAGAAACACTTCTCCTATATTTAATAAAAAAAACAATTTGTTATTTAAATTGTTCAAATGTTGAAAAGAAGGTTTATACTAATTACCTGCTTAAAAGTTCTCTTAATTCCATACTGTACACATTATCATCTTCAGGTGCGTGAAATCTGTTGGCTCTTCTAACAGGAACTGTACGCCTAGTTCTTGGAATATCAGAAGCCCCTTCATTTGTTCCTTGATTACCTGAATTGTTTTCTTGAAAATTTTGATTATTGTCATTAGTGACACCTTGGTTATCCCAATCTTGACCTTCACCTTCATGGATGTTTGTTTGTTGATTTGTGGTTTGGAGTAGAGCTGCTGCAACACTTATACTTTCCAGATTCTGATTTGAAACTTGATGAATGTTGGTTTCTTGAATTTGAGTCTGTTCATGTTCAATCTCCTGTTGAGTGTTGTTTGCAATTGCATCACTACTTATAAAATCAGTGGTGTTACTGTTAGTGTTATCGTTAGATGAATTTTCAGATTGGCTGCTTACTTGCCCTCGAACAATGTGTTCTAGTCTTGATCGAAACCCTTCCCTAATTATAAAAAAAACAAAAATTATATTTATATATATATATATATATATATATATGGTATCAAATAATCATAATTCAAAGAGTTCTTTAAAATGTACCTCAGACCAGAGACAGTGTGGCGTTGTCTGAGCTGGACCAACTCACTTGCTGCCATTGATGGAAGCCTCTCCTCCTCCACAGGCCTCTCATTTCTCAAAAATCTCCCTCTTAGTAGTGACTGAAATCATCAACACAATCTCAATTTTCAATACAACAAAAAGTAAAAAGTATAAAAAAAAAAGTGGACTAAAAAAAACTGTCATAAAGTGACCTGAATTCGGTTGCGATGAGCAAAATCAGAAACAGCACGATACTCTGTTAAACCCTCAAGTTCTCTCTGTCTTTCCCTTTCTACCCTCACAAGTAAATCAAGTAAAGCTTGTCTTCCACGCAACCTCAACATGTCTCTTCTGATATGCTCTGGTTGACCTTCATCATGGTCAACAACAGTCCACGACTAGCTACTTGTTGTTGTTGCTCTTGTTCTTCCCTATGGCTGCCACGTGGACGTGGGCCCCTCTGTTGACTAGTCATCTGGACCCACTCACGCACGATCCTCACCCTTTCACGCTCAGTTTCACCAAGCCACTCTGCTCTTACACCATTAGATGCATTATGATCAGTGACACCTGTCTCCCTCCATCCCTGAACTATATGCCTCACTCTTTCTCTTTCTCTTTCTCTTTCGTTGTCTCCTAAATCAGGAGACTGTTCACGGCTTGAAGTTTCAGTTTCTTGAAGGTCGTTTTGAGCTTCCATTTGATCATTAGACCAAGCTCTGTAATCATTCTCACTTTCAGTTACATCTTCTTCCAAACTTCCTTGATGTTCACTTGCTTCTTGACCTTCTGACATGTTGGTAATGGTATTGGAGTCCACACTTGCATGTTGCCTGAGTCTTTCTCTTACTCTTTCACGAGCACGATTTAGAACATGTTCATCTTCCAATTCTCTCCACATTTGGAGAATAGAGGAAGCTTGGGTGCTTGGTCTTTCAATGTTGCCTTGTCTCCTTGACGTAGGAGATTGAGATTCACTTAAGAAGGAGGAATCAAGCATGGAAACTGTATGCAAACCTGCAAGTGCCATTAATTCAGACTCACGGTTTCTCCTTTCTATTGTGGTGATCATCTCTTGTGCTTGTCTTGCAGCCCATCTGCTTAAGATCCGTGATTGTCGTCTTCTAGCAGCAGAAGTTTCAGCCAGATCATCGCCTTCAAGATCTGACCTTCTTCTTCTTCTCACTAGCTGATCACCACCTTCGCTTTCATCATCGTCCCCATGAGGAGAGCTGCATGATGCGAATGACATACAATCATCCAAATGCCCTCTCATCAGTTCTTCCAATCCCCTCTCGAAATCAGAACCGTCGTTCTCAAAATCTGAACAGGCATCGGTGGTGCTTTCAGGCTTCTGTAGCAGTTGTGGTCGAACATCAGTCATCTTCTCACTAACCCTACCCACCTCAATTCACCAACAAGCACCCACTAGGAAAAAATTCACCGATCGTTTGTAAACACAATCAAACCATATCCTCTCCTCGAGATCAACGATTGATCCGATTTACGAAACGCAATTCAGTCAGATTAATAACACCAGATCAAAATTGTGTTTTTCATCGTCAATGAGACGACTCAATAGGAAATTCAAAGAAATGAAATCGAGATCCACCATAATTCAAACAAGGTAAAAAGAAAACGAACTATGAAACAATAACCTATGAATCAATCAATAAACTTACAGCAAAATCCAAACTACAGATTGAGAAAGAGGAAAAGACGTACCTCTGAAGCTATGAGTGCGCTTTTTTTTTCAATATATTAGTTAGTGTGTGCGGGAAAAAACACAACCCTAAAATTCTGTTGGACCAGAGAAAAGGAATTTCGACTCGATTAAGAGGAACCCCACGACAGATTCAGAGCAAAAAGTAATAGTTTTTGCAAAGATTAAATAAATAAATAACAGGGAGAGAATTTTGGGTTTACATAATCTTGTTTCCGAGTGAGTGATTGTTTTTGTTTTTTGGTTTTTGGTTTTGGGATGAACTAAAAACCTAAACCCGATCTTTGTGCATCAGAATTGCTGAATTGACAACCTAATCCGGATGACCCACTATTACTTGTAATTTATGCATAATTCATGACACATTCAATAGGATGATTAGCAAAAACATTTAGGGGATATTATTTCACACAACGACCATATAAATTTTGCCAGCTCAATAGATTTTTTAAGGCACAAATCCAACAAAAAAAAAAATTAAAATTTTCATAAAAGTTAGATTTAAAAAAATATATTCAATTTTCATATTAAATCACGTTCCAGCTTATGAATAGTGTCAATGATTAAGCTGTCGGTTTTAGTGGTTTAGATGTGACTTCGGATGGTTTGGAGTCGGCTTGAATTCAGAGCACCGCCATCATCTTCAAATGAGAATTATGTTATCTTCCTATAATCGAGTGCTTTGCAGTGGATTACGCCTTCCATCCATGTGTTTTCCCACTGTCGCCTTCGCCAATATGTTTTTTCCACATCTTGGTTTATGTCTTTACTTCATCTACATCATACTTGTGGTGAAAGATTGTTTTTACTCGGTTTACATACTCACTGCCCTTTCCTATCTTGCCCTAAATTGAAAGCGCTACTCACTTCCTCGGATTTGCCTCTTCTCCGTCTTTTCCACTGTTGACCTGGTTGTCTTTCCCCGATTGAAGTTATTTGCAACAGTCATCTTCAACCCACATCCTTCAATGCATTTTTAAACCTTCAACGACCTAGCAACGTTGTGTTATTCAACGACCTGTGCACCTATTTTTTTTTCCAACTGCGATTACAAATATGTGCACACAAAAAATAACATAACAAAAGGTCGCCAAAGGGTTGGTGCTTCTATTACTCACGCTAGTAAGTTTATGGTGGCTTTGTGCAAACTATTGATTAGTTCAAATTGAAGGTTCGCTTGATCGGATACAAACAAGTATAACCACAAAGAAAGATGATAGAAAAATAAAAAAGCAAAAGAACAAAGATTATCACAAACATAGTTTTTCACTAAGAAAAGTATTTCACAAAGAAAACGGTGCACAAAGCGGTTACAAAGACGATCACACAGATGCATTAGGGTTTGGCCCTAATGCATGACTATATACGATTACAATAAACGAAATCCTTTTATTTGAGGGGTGTAATCTAATCTACGTATAGTCTGATCCTAATCACTAAGATTGCGGATAAGATATCTATTCTATAAATACAAAACTATCTATAATTACAAAGTGTCTAACCGACTAATATACAAAAGTATCGGACTATTATACATAAGATCACGATGTCGGTGATACTATGTAGACGTTGGCGCTGACGTTGACGTTGGTGCTTATGTTGATGTTGGCGTTGGTGCAGACTCTGGTGGGCAGCATGTGAATAATGTTTGACTCATCAGATCATAAGGTGTGACCTTAGAATCTCCCCCTATTTGATGATTTCAAAACTAAAAATTTTGCTTTTAGATGCATAATTGAGCTCCCCTCCCCTTGAGAAAATGAATGCTTTTGAGACACTTTGAAAACTTTTGTCTATAGCCCCCCCCCCCCCCCCTGAGAATGTGTATGGATCTCCCCCTTTTTGGCATCAACAATATATCCAAGAGATATAGAGTCATCGTAGAATGAAGGTATTAGCAAGACACAAGTACAATCTCCCCATTTATCAGCAATATATCCTAGGAATGTCGAGATTTATTGACTTATGTCACTAACATGTTTAATCTCTATCATGGTCATCCAACATTCATGACTGGTTTGCCGAGGATCATAAATTTAGATTATAATTCCACCATACAATTAACAAATGGTCTCTGGCCCAAGTTACGTTTGAGTTATTGTGAATACCATGCCACCTTGAATATAATGGAACTAACTTGTTGGTTGCATGCATTATCCCACGTCAGCAAATTATAACAAAAGGTGTGTTTATTTACGGGTAGCATGTGATTTACATTTATAAAAATGAGTTTTTGTTTTATTTTAGTTAAAACATTTTAACCTTTGGAAATCATTAATTTTAAATCACATTTTATAACTTTTTATAGAAAGCTCGAGTTTCAAATTTTAAACAGTTAAAATAAGAAGCAATACAACAATGTGCATATAACAATATCACGAGCCTCGATCCTATACGTCTCCATATGAGCCATCAAAGGAGATATAAGTTGTAATATGGACAAAGTAAGGACACTTCAAAGCTCCCACCTGATCAACACCAACTTTTGATGCCACCTCGAAGTACATTAGACTTTAAACTCCTAAATCCTTCTCTTGGTTTTCGGTCTTCAATAAATTACAACTTTTCTATTAGAGAACTTATTCGTACACAACAGTTTTTCTTCGTACATAATAATTTTGTGCTTTAAAATTTTGTATTGTACAACTTTATCAAGCATAAATTATTGTGTATGGAGAAAAATTGTTGTGTACTTAATCACTTCCCTTTCTATTATAATACAAATTTCTGAACTAAATTACTACAAATTAAAGGGAAATTACATATTACAAACAAAAAAATAAATTACATAAAGGTCACAAATACCAAAAGCACAACCAAACATATAACATGTAGGTTAATTCAATGTTCGGTGTATTGGATCCATACAATTCAAAACAAGCAATTATTTTGAATTTGGATTAAAACTGTTGGATTAGGTGTCTAAGCTCATAATTATAATTGGTATAAACTTGAATTGATAATAGCACAGTCCTTTTGGGTTGCCCTCAAACCTATCAAGTGGACATGATTATTCTTGGAGAGAGAGAATGATTTATTATGTGATTGATAAATTGAAATAAATAATTTGTTAATATATTATAAAAATAATATATTAATTGGAAATATTAATATTTAATTAATATTTAATCAGAAATTAGCTGGAATTAATTTGGTGATTAAAATAATTAATTGAAAGTGTAGGGACTGAAGTGCAATTGTTTAATAGTTGAGCAAAAGGCATTCTAGAACCCTCCATGAGCTATGGACGATTTTTGAGAAGCATTTAGGGTTTCTAGAATTATCCATGTGGATAATTAGGAAGCTGAATAATTACCCGGTTCAAGATAATATTATTATATTGGGTTTGGGTTTATCTAGAGTTTTCTGACTGCACTATAAATAGGCCCCTAGGTATGACATCCCGAAATTTATGGCTAATATTGTAAACGGCCAATTCACCGCGAATCTCGTTGTAACTTGACTTATTGAGTTTTAGTGCATCTTAAATAAAATAAATAAGTTCATTTAGACTATTATGAAATATCATATGATATCATACTTTCAAATGTAAAAAATAACAACTGAATTAAACCGCTCAAACTGCAACACCGATTAATGCGTCTGAAAAACTAAAATTTTGCATTAAGCAGTTTTGAGCAAAGAAAACATTAAAATATTTTAGTACATGTTCCCCTGTTTCCGAAAATATAAAGAACGTACAAAACAGAGTTCGTATGCAAAAGATACGACAGTTTTAAGAAAACAGACATTAAAACATTGTTTTTCTTTAATCGTGTAAAACCGAATCGATCCGTTGAGACACCTACGCATTGTCGATGGAATTTTTGAGAACGTTTTTTAAATCATACTATAATGTATTATTTAATTCCATACTCGAAATATTTTTAACGAAAATCTTTACAAAAGTCGCGAAAAAAACGGACTTTACGACTATTTAGACGCGAAACTTAGAATGTGATTTCCCGGAGTTCCGTAACTCCAAAAATTAATATGTTTGATGTTCCGGAATCCTAGAACTATATCTTATCTAATGGAACTTTTGAAAAAAAAAATCTCGATGCACGAATCCCGATACACCAAAATAACCTAGGTTTTGGGTATTTAAGGAGGGCATGCACTATGTGGGCACTATGGGGCCATTTCTTTCCCTTATGTCCATGACCACGTGACCCTTCTCCTTTCCTCTCTCTCTTGCTTGCACACAACAACAACACCTTCTTTTGTTGTTGTGTGCTGCTCAGTAACCTTCCCCACCCTCCCCTTCATCAGAATATGCCGAAGGAAGCAAGGAAAACGAAGGCAGTCAAGGACTGCCACCTCGTCACAACCCTTCTACCACCTCGCCGGAACCTACTACCGGCTGCCACCACCACCGCCACCTGCTTAAATCTCGACGGTTCATTTTGGAAACTACACATCTCGGATTCTCGCATCAAAGCTCGAAACAGATCGGCAAACACACGTTAAGGTGAGTGTTACGGCCCCACTTTTACATTTTTTTTTTGGGAGGGGAATACATGTACTATTTGTACTATATATATATAATATATATATATATATATATATATATATCTATAATATATATATATATATATATATATATATAGGGGTAGGATCAAATGAGAACACCAAAAAGGTTGAGAACGCGAGAACAAAGTATATTCATTTGCGATTCTATGTATTCATTTGTGGAGAAACGATAAATTTTTACGCCTTTAATTTCAATTGAAGAGAAAAAGCATATTCATTTTGATTGTGCGTAAAAATTTATCATTTCTCCACAAATGAATACATGGAATCACAAATGAATATACTTGTTCTCGCGTTCTCAACCTTTTAGGTGTTCTCATTTGATCCTTTCCCTATGTGTGTGTGCGTGTGTGTGTGTGCTTAATGCTTTATTTATACAAACAACATCATCATTTTTATGCAATATAAGTCATACAAAAGTATTATTTACTACTCTACTACTTACGGTATGGGGAATCTGGTTTGAAGGGTCGCTTGGGTTGTTGGATGTCAGAACAACTTAATTGTTAATGTTTCATGTCTGACCGTCGTCTGTACATGGTAGTACGGGTACTAAGTAATATTTATCATACAAAATACACATAAAATATCATTATTTTGTGTAAACACATTACTAGTTTGTGAAATACTTGTTTAAACGCTTATATGTTATAAGTAAACTGTCACACCCCCAAACCAAGGATGGCGGAAACGTCCGGGGGTGGAGGACTTCATGTATAGTATCATAACAGCAATTGTAATAGTAATTCAAGCAAACACAACCAACATATATATAATTGAAAAAAAATTACATCATTGTATGAATTACAGGTTTACAAATCAATTACAACATGTTGATAAAATATGAAATAGTAGACGCCTTAGCGTCCCATCCTCAAAAGCACTTGATTACCTGTTTAATGATTTCCTGAGAATACAAGTTGTTTGAAAAAGTGTCAACACAAAGGTTGGTGAGTTCATAAGCTTTGTTTTGGTATTTTAAAAAGCCTTTCGTTTGTAAAAGTAGTATTTGGTAGAAAAATCCAATATTTTCCTTAATGTGTAAATGTAGTCTTAAAACCCAAAGACCGAAATGTACAAGTAATTTGTCATATTTATAGTAAAACAATGCAAGTTTAAATCGACATAAACTCGTTAAATTTTAATGAAGTTCCCGTAAATTCCAATGTTTTTTAATACTTTATGTGAGTTTATTATAACCATACTATGACCAAGGTTGCCTAAAACGACGTTCTTCAGGCGTCGGAAATGTTATGACATTTGTCACCCCAGACCTATCGGTCTAACTGTTGCATGCAGTTTAGGTGTGGGTTTGTCAAACCCAATATAGATCTATACACAAGTATCACGCTCTCCCTCAAGGAGACTCTAGTTACAATACAGGACTTAATGGTAATTTGAAGTAAATGTCTCACA